GGTCATAAACTGGCCAAAGGAGGAGATAGAAGCCACAGATATCCAGACAAGAAAGCTCTCACCATGCACGGAGGGTTTAACCAATCCAGCACCCTGAGACTGTACACTAAGCGGAAAGATGGAGGCCGAGGACTGTAAGCATCAAGCCATTATCCAGGATGAAACATCAAAATCCAAGAATACATCAGAAAAAATGGCCACAAAGGATGAACTGCTAGGGCGAATGCTCAGGCCAACAAAAACCTGATAAGAGTGCGGAGGAAGAGGGCAGACACCTGGGAGGGACAAGCCCTATGGATGTACCACCCGCCAAATTGAAGAGTGGCTGATGTCGAGAAGACACTACTAAATGGCTGAAAAGGCTGGACTCAGAGACAGCACAGAGGCACTGATGCATGGCAGCACAAGAACAGGCCTAGATACAAGAGCCATAGAGGCCAAGATCTACAAGAAGTAGATCTGACCCAAGGTGGCAGACTATGCAAAGATGCCTTGAGACAGTCCAGCAACATCATAGCAGGGTGTAAGATGCTAGCCGGCTCAGCGTACATGGAAGAGACAGTAATTTCATACAAGTACGATCTTTTAATAGTGTCCTGAGATAACTTCTGTTATGAATTGGCGCTATACAAATAAAATTGAATTGAAAATTGAATTGAAAATTGAATTGAATTGAATTGAATTGAATTAATTAACACACCTTTAGTTTTTTTTTGGTTTTATTTTGTTCCTGATGAGTGTGTGTGTTTGAGTGTGTTTTATGGTGACTTAACGAGGCAGTTAAGCTGGTATTAGTTTGGTAAAGTCAAAAACTTGAATTCAGAAAGTGTAAGATTGTATTTGTCTGTTTAATGAGGAAAATAGGTGTTAGAATATTTCCTTTCTTGACATTTTGTGAGTCTATTTTGTTTAATATAAGCTCAGCTATATCAGCAATCCCTGGTTGGTGGAAACATCGGCCAACCCTAGTCTACAGTCTGTTGGCTGTTTGGGTCAAATAAAATCGAATGTGAAATTCAGCAAATTTCTATAAAAAAAGAGCAGCAAAAACTGGGAAACAGGAAACTGCTCTGTTGATCTTTGATGGAGCAGACGAGAATAAGACAAACCTGCAGTACTATCCTTCTCCTCCAGCACACAAGGTAAGCTCTTCTTGCTGATCAGGACACCCTGACTCCGCTGTCGGATCACTGGTTTGGTTGTTTTGATTCGCTGACTGTACTGGCGAGCCAAATGGAGGACTTTGCTCTTGGTCTTGTCTAAGTCATCCAGCTGGTTTAGGTTTTCGTTAGGCCTTTCCTCCTCAGCCTTCAGCTGCACGACCCGAGGAACTGGAACCCTGAGGAGGACAGCCTCCTCCCCAAAAACCTTCAGTGAGTCCTTCAGACTTCCTGTCCGATTCACACTGGTGTCTTTGTGCTTGAGGGGTGAAGGACTCGTGGATTCCTCTGTGATGGTGCTCAGATCAGACGCTCCACTCTCTTGGTCACAGCTCTTGTTTGGGGTCTTTGTTGTGTCAGAAAGGCTGACGTTGGTCACTCTGGAGTTTCTTGGAGCTTCTCGATATCGGCCTTTGTCTTCACTTTGGGATCTGGTGATCCCTCGCTCCATTGACTGCCAGATCTTGATCATTTCAGATGAAGGTCTGAACTCTTCGTCCTCAGATGGATTGTCCTGAATGCTTTGAGATCTGGACCTGTGGCTTTCTCCTGAATCTTCTGGATCTGTGCTTCTCAGATCAGACTTCAAAGAGTCCAAAGAGTCACTAGAGACCATGTAACCCCTGGTATCTAAGTTTAGCTCTGCTGAAATAGGGTCAAGACTGGAGGATGTGGTCGAGGTGGAGGGGTTTGTCTGGACAGTTTCCTCCTTTGGGATGCTGTTGAACCGGCTGACGGAGCTCCTGACCAGCCCAGACGGGATATATGTCAGGCTCTCTCTGCGCTGAAGGCTGAAGGTGGCATCCTGGCTCTCAGCGTTCTCATAGTAACTCTTAATTTTGCCGATGAGCAGCTGGTCCTGCTTGGACAGAGTGGAGTCTCGCCTTCGCCGAATGCCTCGATCGGCGTCAAAGAGGCTGTCGTCCCGAGGAGACAGGAGGGTCAGATCTGCCACCCCGAAGGTCTCTCCGGCATCAGAAGAGACACTGTTGATCCCGACAGGACGGTTGGCAGGTTCAGCACTGAGACTGAGGCTGCTGCCGGTCCTGCTGGGTAACCGTGGTGAAGTGCAGCCAGTGGAATGGGTGTCGTCCTGGCCCAGGCTGCCCCGTTTGATGCTGTTGGTGAAGTGCTGGGCGATCGTGCTGGCTTTGTCCAGGACAGAGGAAGGAAGGATGCTGGTGGCTTTACCCTCTTTCTCTGCCGCCTCCTTCACATCCTCCTCGTCCTCAGAGGATTCTGCACTGCTCAAGGTCTTTGAATCTGAATCAGGTGTGGCAGAGGATGGTTGCTCTGTGGGCTCTGGATCTCTTTCAAGTCTCACTTCTTCTGACAATTTAGAAGATGTTGAGATCCTGGGAGGCAAACTGTCCAGATCAGAGGAGGGTTCTGGTTCAGGGATTTCTGCTGGCTCAGACTCTGACATCGTCTCCTGTGGCAGCTTATGTGTGGAGGCCTAGAGAAAATCCAAAATACAGAACAAATAATTAGAGCTGGAAGATATTTTTGGAACCATTTGTCTGTTTGAAAGACCAGAAACCTCCCTCGTCCTCTCAGAAAATAATTAGAATAATCGTTTTTTCCTACTGACTCTTCACAAAACCATGAGACCAAATATCAATTAAACATCTGGTTTACTCCTATCCCCATGTGTTACTCACATTTTCTGGTTCTGGCAAGAACTTGTCTAAGAGTTCAACCATCCAAAAAACACGTTTTCACACTATAAACAAACCAAACCATGGTTCAGTTTGATCCGGACCGAGACCACCTCTTTTCATCGGTTCTGCGGTTTGGTCCGGGGGAGGTTTCACATCTGTAAATTTGGTTCGGATCAGATCAAACAAGGTAGGTGTGAAAGTCCAGAAACCAGATTTAAGAAATGATAACAAGAGATTGAAGCTAGACAGGAAGGGATGTCAGCAATAAAAAGTGTAATATCAGACATCAGAAAGGTATCGAACCTGCGAGTCGTCCACTCGGCTGTTATTTAACCGCTCATTTGTCGGTTCAGTTCCTTCTGGCTCGTCTTCTTCCAGAAGGTGTCTGCTTTCTTTGTTGCAGCCGTTAGAGGAGATGCTGCCTGCCTCCGCCTCCTTCAACAAAGAACCAAACATCAAATAAAATCTTTAATATCCAAAGAATCTGATGGATGTTTAAATATTTTAAACTGTGACTGCATTGGAGTTATTCTCTGCTGTGTTTAAAAACTCTCCCACTCGCTTCTAAACAATCACTTCACCCAAACAGAAGAAATCTCCTACAGAACCAATGAACATGACTACAACAGAACTCTTGTTTTATATTGTCCTGTGGTGGGAGGTTAGAGACCCCATGGTCGCAGCAGGAAAACATGTTCTTCTATTGAGTGAACTAACCCTTTCTTTCAGACAAAAAAATGATAAATTCTCTGCAGCAGGTTCACACCAAACAAACTAACTAATGAGTCTGAAAGCACACATGCAAATAAACGAAGCAACGCAGCAACCGAACACTGAGAGGCAGCAGCAGCAAATGTCTGGTTGCACTCTGCAACTAAACACAACCTGAAGCCATTAGCCTGTAGCCCCTGCTAAAGGCCCCCCAGCTAAAGGCCCCTCAGCTAAAGGCCCCACAGCTAAAGGTACATCTTATTTTATGTGAGCTACATTGAAGGAACAGTTCTCAATAAATCCTCTTGTTCTCTGTTATCTCCATAGTCTCCAGATGGGGGTGATACCCCTGAAGTCTGATTGGTCACCCTATTATCCGTCTCTCTTCCAAGATATGGTATCATATGAAACTCCTGAAGGGACCACCTTTCTATTGTTGAGTAAACTACTGACCCCTGACTGAAGTGTATTTATGGATAGATATTTCATATTATACTCAATGTAGAGAGAACAACGGATCTGTGTTTTCCTGATATTTTTTATACAACTCTGTCTGCATTATGTTGTTTTTTTTAAATGTTCACACTCATACAGACTAAATATTCTTCTTTTCTGTTAAGAAGCCCTCGGGACCCCCCTGTGATCCCACTGGTAACAATCATGTCCTGCCGGCATATCAGGAAGTGGGCTAAATAAAGCATGGCCATTTCCAAGTCTCCTCTTAACACACTTACAGACGCTATCTCATGCAGGGAGAGTCTCATGGGGTCCACAAACAGTGTTGGAATTGTGCCCCCCCAGTCAGAAAAGTGTGGACCTGCCCCTGACTCGAGGTTACTTCAGAACAAGAGGATTTATGGAACATAAACACATTCAGTTAGTTCCACAGGTGAAGCTCATGCAGCAGACAGCTGAGAGCTCCGGAGCAGCAGTGCTAGTACAGTAAATCATCCATGAGCGGGGGCGCTGTTATCCGTGACTTTAGTGTGTTACAGAGGAGGAGGACGGGTGAAGATGAAGACCAGGCTGGCGGCAGAAAGCCTCACCGTCACCATGGCAACCTCCGTAGAGAGCAGAGCCTGCGCCCTGTAGTGCCAACACGAGATGGCGGCCAGCACGGAGCTAGCGAAGTCGTCTACCTGCTCATCCTCCGTCAGAATGTCGTCCGGCTCGCTGTCTTCCGCCGCCGTCCTGTGGGACCGCTGACGAGACAACCTCGCCACCTCTTCCTCCTCGTCTTCCTCACTGCAGGCCAGTCGCTCCAGTGAGTCCTTCCTGCTACAGAGCTCCTCCTTCTCCTCTTCATCACGCCAAGACTCGCCCAACGTGCTGCTGCTGGTGGCGGGCTGCAGCAAGCGTCGCTCCCCAGGTGCCCCCCCGTCACTGTCTGAGTGCTGCGGGACGTCAAACACTCCTGATCGGTTTCTGATCGGTTTCATCTCTCTCTGTCTCCCCCTGGTGGCTGACTGCGAAATAGACTCTCTCTCTCTCTCTAT